GAATTCAGACAAGAAGTCTTGTCTATTATCACGGTATTTCATCCATCGTGTTGCCTTAAAATTTTTAGTTAACCTTTTTTTAATATGATTTTTTTTTTTTTTACTTTTCTAATTATCTATTTTTCGACGTAGATCTTTTTGTGGGGGGGAGCATTGTTGTGACATGGGATGACATCTACCCGCTAACCATCTTATTCTTTCAGTATATAATGTTATTCACTATGCGTGACAAAGATCATCGAATTTCTCATTACAACAAAATGAAAGCTTCTTTAAAGTTTCATTAAAATTATTAAAAAACTAAAAGGTTGAATTAATTGAAATGGAAATAGGTTTCAGATTATGTTTCAGGCTTATTTCTTATACAACCAATAAAAAATATTGATAATGAGCAATTACATATAAAGACATCACGTATAAATGATCTGAATGAATGAATATCAGAATGATTAAATTGACAAATCATACATGCTAGTTGTATTAGATGTAACAGTCTACGAATTTCTTAGATTAAACATTGTCATTTTTATTCACTTTTACCAGTAGAACTACCATCTTATTTACAATGCTTTGTATGGTAACTCTTAGGTCGTCATTTTTTGACTTCTATTATGATGGGGGATCAAAAATAAAGAATAAGTACCCGAAACGAGTTGAAATCCAGTAATATATATAAATATATATATATGTGTGTGTGTGTGTGTGTGCGCGCACTATATTGGAAAAAGTTGAGTTGCATTTGGTCAGAATTGATATATTTAATCAGGAGTAGATAGATAAGGAGTAGGTAGATAGATAAGCCTATCGTCCGGTTCACACTCCTCTCTGGTCTTTTGAACATTTGATGTTTATCCCTTGTTTCATGTTTAGGACTAGGTTTCTGATTCCTGCTAAAACCTCCGACAATTCTATACTCTCAAAGTCTCCGAATGAGCTCTGAAATTTTATTCACTAATTATTATTTTTTATCCTCACCCAATAGGAGTATATAGGTTCGTCTATCGCCCGGTTTATACTCCTCCCCTTTTGAACAGGAGTAGAGTCTATCCCTTGTTTCTTGTTTAGGATTAGGTTTCAGGTTCCTTCTAAAATCTACTTCAACACTCTGCTTTTAACATGTCCGACTGAACTCTGAAATGTTATTCATTAATTAAATCTTGACCACTTAAAGTCTATACTTAACTATTATCTTTCCTTCATAGCCCCAAAGGACTTCATTTCTGGACCTTTATGGCGCTAATGCAACACCATACATTAACTTTCTACCTTGAGTGGTTCTTGGACCTTGTATTAGGTGAACATTATTAATAAATAGAAAAGAAAAATGATAATGCTTCAATTCATTTCCAATAACATAATCCCATCTATTTAGCAAATTGATGATCCCTTAGCACCTCGCCAGAGTACCCCATTTCGTTCTTGACCCGGAAGACGAATGGCCACTTGCAAGAAGATGGCTGTGCCCTAGTTTATGTAGTCGGTGTGCAATGCCATGAGAAATAAAAATGTTAAAATTATGTTTATATCATTTCCCATTTTTGGCCCGCGAATTACATCCTCTCAAATAACTGGCGCATCCTATATGTTGCATAAATATACTATGGGTGCTGACAAATTCTTGGCTCAAACCATTTCATAAATTTTAACCAGATTTTTTAAAAAGCCAACATTTTTTTAATCTCTTCTACGTCAGGCCGTGAACTTTTCAGCACGTTATATGGCAAACATACCAAGATATTGCCATGTTGGCTATGAACATTTTATCCTTAAAGAGTCTCACGTGAATAGCAACCATCAGTAAACATGGCATATTTCCAAGCGATAAAAAACCAAACACACGAATATAATTACTGTCAAAACTATTGACACAGCCAACATCACTTGCTGAACTCATGAATGACGTCTGCAGTGACTAGAGTCGCGGTTCAATTCGTTATTTTTTTTTTTTTACTTTTTACTTTTAATTAAACTGGACGTTTCGTTTTCTGCACTTAAAGTTCAATGTCTGACCAATTGGAGAACTTGGCTGTCCACTTGGAAGCGAAATAACAAAGTGGAAATGACTCTGTCAAGCAATTTTAATTGCCATTTCCTTTCAGTATTTAAGCGATCATGATTCTCAAGAAAATTCTTTATTATCTGTAAATTGCCATGACATCTTGCTGTGCTTTTTCGTTGCATTCTCCATGGTTTTGTATTCAGTGTTGTCCTTCTTCTAGACTGGTCGCCACTCAAGGCTAGGTAGTACAGTCTACCCTGCTATTTAACCTATAGCTGCAGGGAGAAGAGATAGTTTCATGACTTTCCTATTAGTGAGAAAGCAATAGATAAAACATATATAAGTCTTTCTTTAATAGTTTCACTCCAATCAAGGCGATAATGTCACGAGAGCACAGGGAGTAAAAAGGAGTGAAAGTGAGAGTGTGAAAGAGAGAGTGAGAATGGGGAGGATCGAGGAAAGGATAAAATATATTTGTAAATGATTATAAGAAATTGACTCATGTCGAAACATGCAGTGATTCTAGAATAAATAAAGAGAAAAGGAAAAAGGAAAAATATTATTATTGATTTGTGCAGTCACAAAGATATAGATATCTATCAAGTCTCAGAACAGAGACTCCTGGAGAGGCGGCTAATAAACAGGACCTGGTTCTACCAGGTGAGCATTTGCCTATCTGCGTACCAGTTGTTGTCTGGCTTTCTTCGACACATTTGTTAGTCTATGAAGAGGCTGTTTTGGTTGTGTGGCGTAATTCCAACATATGATATCTTCAAAACACTTCCCAACATTTCAACTGTTTCTTTAACAGCTATTAAAATTTTTATTGCCACCATTTATATAACTTAACCTGGTTTAAACTTTATATTACTTCATATATATCAGTCTGTTCATATGTCTCGCTGACTCACTGATTCACGCATGCAATCAATCTATCTATATATATATATATATATATATATATATATATATATATATGGAAAATGTTATAGTTGTTCCAACGAGAGAAAAATGTATATTTTAAAAAAGATAGAAACCGCAAACGTTTTTGGTTATAATGTAGATTAGTTATAGTATATATATATATATTATATTTTTATATATATCATATTTTATTTTCCACATTTCTGCTACAAGTGTTTCCGGTCTCGTGACCCTCTTTAGGCAAATAAAAGGAATAAATTTTTAAAAGGGATAAATTTTCCTTATGTTCTTTAAATGTCTCATTATTCGTTTTCTGTTTTTGTTAGTGAGCCTTGAACTCTTTTTTGGACTGTTGGCAAAAGTGAATTTCTGCCTAAGTGTTAATAAAACCATTAGGTTTGGTATGAGTGATAGTGATAATAGATGCGTTGATGAGAGATATCTTCCTGTCCCTGTGTGCGTGCCTGTTTCTGTTATTCCCTCCCCATATATACATACTGTCTTATAATAAGGAATCAGCATACACATATATGTATGATCAGCATACACATATATGATTATAAGAAATTGACTCATACACATACACATATACATACATACACATACACACATACACAATCTTCCTGTGTTCGTGGGTGTGCCCGTGAGTAGTCTATCTGCTTTTCTTAGTATATATATATATATATATATATATATATATATATATATATATATATATATATTGTTTGCACGTGCGTACATGTGTGCGGTCGACCAGTGTATCTGGTTATCCTGTGTGCATGCTTTCTGTCCATGTACGTGGGGTTATTACCTGTTCAGTGCTGGGTCAAATTTGTCTATGAAGTTTTTTTTCTTGAAATTGTCTGTTTGGTATATTGGCATAATTTTAAATTTGCCTTGATTGCATTTATAGATGTGTTGCGATATAAAGAGTTTTCTGTTGTCGGGCAATTTGATGTTACTTTTGTGAAATGTAACTGTTGTTAAATACCTGGCTGATGCCTATATATGACTTCTTGAATTTTGTACATTTGAGTGCATAGATCACATTTCTGAAGTTGAAGTTAAAATTTTTATTTATTGTGAATGTAGTTGTGGTGTTTTCAAAAGTGTCGAATTTGCCTTCTATAATGACATCACAAGCCCCACATCATTTTTGTTACACTTTGTGACGCCCTGTATATTATGTTGGTTAAATTTGAATGAGGTTAATATATATTTCAGGATTAGCCTTTTCTTTTAATTATTCTTCTTGTTAAGTCTAGATATCATGTAATTTCTGTAAATAGTTCTGGATTGTTCTTATTGTATGTTGGGACATATGATATGATTTGTTCGACGCTACGCCTTTTTTTTTATTTCGTAGTTGGTCTAGAGGTGTTTTATTTCTGCTAGTTCAAAACCTTTGTTTATTACTGTTGTGGGGTAGCCTCGTTTTTTTTTTTGTTGCTTTTTTTTTAGAGTTCTATATAGTTCTCCTAGAAGGGTTTTTCTGAGGTGTTTGTTGGTCACTATAGTGCAAACTCTACGTGCTAGGGAAAATGGGATGGATTTCACACAGCTTTTTGGGTGATAGCTCTTGAAATGAGGATATTGTTGGGTGTCTGTAGGTTTTTGGTAGATATCTGTGATTATGTGGTTGTTTTATTTCCTAGTGAGTATATCTAAAAATGTTAATTCGTTAAAATTATATTCTTGGGTGAATTTGATTTTGGGTTGTAACAACAAACCTTAACATTTCAACACACACACACACACACACATATATATATATATATATATATATATATATATATATATATATATATATATATAGTCATCCACAGACAGACTGTTTCGCTGTATCACAGCTAATCAGTGTGGCTAGACATCCGATCGCTTCAGGCCGGGACCGAAACCCGACCAATTTGGTATCAGTCAGAGATTCGTTCCTTATTCCCCGCAGTGCTTGACCGATTAAATTATTTTATCGAGAGTTAATATCGACATCCAGTCTGTTTCGCTTTATCACAGCTCGTCAGTGTGGCTTGACATCCGTTGATAGAGTGAGAGAGAGAGAGAGAGAGAGAGGTGATATATGCATACATCGTTATTTTTTCTTTTTTATCGTTATTCATATTTCCCGCAATTTCTTTTTCCTCCTTCATATTATTCTCTTTTCTTTCTTGTTACGTTTTATTTTTTCTTTCCTCTTCTATTTTTACACGATTTAACTATTTTGTCTGTCTTCTGCTTTTTCCTTTCTTTCTTTCTTTCTTTCTTTTTGTGTTTTCGCATATTTTCCATCTCTTTTTCACCTTTTCCTTCCTCTTCCTTCAATTCTACTGCTTTTATTTATCTTTTCCCTGGTTTTATCTTATTTTCTTTTTTCCTTTCTTTCCCTTTCGATTTCTACAACCTCATCCACTTTCTCTTCATCTTTATGCCTCAGCCCTTCTGGCCTTCAGCTTGACAATTACAACAGCCGCTAGGTGGCGCTAACGAGTAATTGGGAACGCGTTCAATATGTCTCCTACTTGCTCCTCAAATTGACAGGAACGCTGTTTACTTGCCAATATTTTAGACGGCACGTTGTTTCACCAAATACATACTAACAAGTCTCGTCAACATACAACAAGTATATATGCCTGTCTCAAGTAAATAGACAGAAAATGAATATCACAAACTTATTCCCTAGTAAAGTTAAAATAAACTCTTGATTTAAAAGACAATTATTTGTTGAAATGAGCGTCCGCTAATGAAAAAGTTCGTTGAATCCGTATGTAAACAAGGTGCCATTTTTGAAATTTTTAAAAAAATTTTAATGTTAAAATGTTTTACTACAGTATACCCGGCTGTATGAGTGTATATCTGTTTAACCCTGTAGACTCCCCTATGGAGTATAGAGCCACATTTTTACCACAAACCCGTTAATACTGACATTACTTGTAATAATTATTATTAATTATCATAAGGTTAATAAATATTAATAAAATAATAAAATTAATAATTGTTGAATTATTTTCTCTTAAATTATTGTTATTACATAATATTATTATAATATTATGTAATATTATTGTAATCTAAACTAATATTCATATAATCTATTCTCACCATTTTCAAAGTGTAGCTCAGTTGATTTTAACTTTTTCGGTAGTGACCCCAAAGGTTTAATCTATCTTGAAGACCCATATTCCCATAAATCAGTTTTAATTTCATTCATTTATTCAGTTAGCGCATTTTTCGCCACCACTGTGGTCACCACTCCCCTACATCTCACAATTGTGATTCATCGTGACATTCAATGCAGAATATTGCAATGGTTTATCGGTTCTTTTTGCACTGGGGAATGTTGAAGTTACCCCGACTCTCCTCTCAGATGTTAAAGACACAAGACCTACAAAAGATGGTTTAAATTTTAAGTTTTCATTTAGGCATAATTAAAAATAATAGTTGTTAAACAAAAAGAAAGTTAATTTACAATATTTTGTTAATGACTATTCAAATCTTAGCTCTAAGATTCATAAAGGTGGAATCCATTATATTGGGGCTTTGTTAAATGGAAGATGTAAATTTCTTCAAGTTTGACATGTAAACATTGTTAGAATAAGTATTATTTTTTTTTATTTCAATTCCATTGAACATTGTTATTTATGATTATTATTAATTGTGACGATTATTCGATTTTTATTTTTAGTTGCTTTTAAGGTATCTTTTTTTTATTATTCCAGGTCACTTATGTAATTCCTATTGTGTCTGCACCCTGAAAGTAAGTGAGACAAAGAAACCTAAGAAAATTGTCCGTCGTCAATATGTCGTTCCCACCTTGGGCTTACTCCTTTCTTGACAAACGTGCATCCTCTGTGCTTATATTTAATAGTCCTTTCTTCTTTCTTTCTCTGATCTCATTCACTATCCGCATACAGGCTCTTTGTTCTATTATATGTTACAGGTCATCTGAATATATTTTCCCTATAAATCAAGCCTTTTTTCAGTATTTCAAGTAGCTTTTTACGTTGTATCCCATCAATTGCTTTTGTGTAATCTATGAAATATTATTATAAGTCTCTTTGCTGTTTCTTGAACAAAACCACACAGTCCCTGGTCGTTTTTGCCCTATTCTCTGCCTAATTCTGTTATGGGTTCCTTTAATTAAAATTCTCAGTTTAGTTATGTGACTCCTTAAACTGACTGTCAGATGGATTTCGCATTCATTTGCACCTTGTTTCTTTAATATAGTTATGAAGATAGAGCAACAGAGATGCCCCAGTATTTCACCGCTATTATTTATTTCCTACACCAACTCTAGTACACCTAAAATGTTATCATAGACCACTTTTTTCTCACCATTCCAGGGATTGCTATTATTAATTTACTGTACCAATAAGCTATGTCAATTAAGTTTCAATTTATAACCTAATTGCAACAATCTACCAGTTGTCGTTAGCAATTCGCCTTCATCTATTACTTAGTTTATCCTGGTATAATAATAATAATAATAATAATAATAATAATAACGATTAGAGATGAGATTGATACCAAGAAATTACCAAGCACATATACAATTCGCCATCTTGTATAAGGTTGCACGATATTGGCACCGACTGAATATAAAATACGGTATGACAGAGTAGGCCAATATTTGCACTGCAAAATCTGCAATTTTTGCAGAAAAGAAATTTGGATGAAAACCACTCAGACCCGGATATAGTACCTGTAACAATTTTATGGGACTTGACAATACACACATACAGAACAATCAATGCTAATCGCCCAGACATCGTTATTAGAGACCGCAAAGAGAAAATGTGCCTCCTTATTGACATGGCAGTCCCTGCAGACTGTAGTGTATCTTTGAAAATATTCAAAAAACTATCAAAATACAAGGTCCTTGAAATCCAAATCTCAAAAATGTGACACATGAAGACATTAACAATTCTAGTTGTAGTTGGAGCTCTCGGATTGGTTGGAAAAGATTCCAATAGACTCAATGAATCGATTCCTGTTAGACCATGTTTTAAAGACATACAAAAATTGTTTTCACAAGTACAGCCCACACTTTATGAACGGCTTTATCTATGTAAAATATGTGTGATTTTTTTTCAAAAATGCACAGTGGAAAATTTCATAATGTCATTTCTGACCTTATGTCTCTCGTCGGAACCCGGGAAGAAATGAGTACACACCAGAATTCAAAGGAAAAAAAATAATAAAATAATTTTCAATTCCTTCTATTTATTCCACTAATAAAAATAACAAGATGCCCAATCATACCAAATTAATACAAAAAGGAAAATGAATTTGAAATCCAATGAACGAAATGACACCTGTTGTTCAAGCACAATGTTCATTGTACCGAGAAGAAAAAATATTTGAAAAATATCAACTTCCTCAATAACATGTATGTGCCAAAAATGTTCATCTCTTGACACATGTCGCGTCTCAATGAGGAATTAACGACTCGTGGTGAATGTTCTTAATCTCATACACGTGCATTTTGTGAAAAAATAAATAAAAGTTAGTGTGCAAAAGACAAACCTCTTAATTTTTTTCACTAATTTCCGTTGAAAGTTTAATTTTACATTTTCAAGTGAATCTGTTTAGAATATTTCATTTATCTTCCTTATAAGGAAAATGTTTTCGGCACCTGATTTCTCTTCAGTCTTAGTTTTTTTTCTCCCTTGAGTCTTCCTTCTTCTTCGCCAATTCTCTTTCAGTCTTTTATCTTCCCTGTTTTCTTTCGTGTATTTGTTATTTCTTCATTCTTTTCTTCTCTGCGTTTTCCTGTGTCCTGTTCTTTTGGCATCATTTTCTTTTTCTCTCCTTTCTTCCTCTGTTTCCTTCTTCCCCTTCCTCTCTGTGTCCTTTCATTCTTTCTTTCTTTCTTTTTTTCTTTCTTTCCATTAACTTTTTTTCCATTATCTTGTTTTTTGTTTTTTTTTTTTTTCCCGCCAATGCTTTCTATGTCGTATCGGTTTCCTGTAAGACGCCTCTTGCATTCAAATTAACCTCTACAAGAGTAAGTCAATTATTGTCCTTATCCTTCACACCTTGGATCTTGCAACCAGATAGCGTCGTGGCGGGAAACGGAAATGAAAAATGGGCGACTTCTCATTTTCGAATTCATGAGAGAAGCCATAAAATAGAAACGCCTCTTCACTCAATTCTTTTACAGCGAAACTAGATTTGTGCGTCAAGAACCACTGACTTTGTAGCTCGTCTTTTCTCTGATTTCTCTTTATTCCAGTTCCCAAAGAGTTCCAGCTGTCGTTATCAGGAGTCGTGAAACAGTTATGGTCACAAGTCACCGTGCTTCCTATGGATCTATTAGTGATTAACTCGCAATAGAAACTACCTGTCTCTTTCACTCTTTGTCAAATGTTCAAGTGCTTTTATTAAGTATGTTTGTTTAAACTTGCCATAAACAGTATTTAGCCATCAGCAATTCTAGAGGAACGTTATAAAGTGTTAGACAAAATTATCGAGTTAAAACTAATGTTAAACAATAAATAATGTCGAAGAATAAAAGTAAATTCACTTCTTTTTTGTCTTTCTTATTTTTCTTTTTCCCTTTCTGATTCCTTTTTCTTCCATATCTTCTTTTTTTAATTTCTTTTTCTTTTCTTTCTTTATCTATCAAAGTCTTTTTCTTCATTTCGTTTTGTTTTTGCTTTCCTTTCCATTTTCTTTCCTTCTAGCTTTTCTTCTTTTTTTTCCTGATTTCTCTCCTCCTTTCTCCTTCTTTGACTCTTTCATTCTATGAAATCACCGATAACTTGACCATTCCTTACCAATTGTGGACGTTCGTATCAACGAAAGTTATCAGTGTGGGAATCGAAATAAGAGAACCTGGTTTGAATTTCATTTGATATTACACATATTCTCTACTCCCTTGCATCTGTTACATCTTCAGATAATAATAATAATAATAATAATCTCATCACTGGCTTGCAGCATTCATTGACAAAAAGGTGTAGTCAGAATAAGGATTCTTCTCTTGGTAATCCCATGTAAAAAAAAAAAAAAACTACGACTTACTTCAAACAACAGTCATTTAACAGCAATTTGGGGAGAAACCGAGAGGAAGCCAACACAATACGCAAGGGTCATGCAACAAACCAGTCATATAGTCGTAGTTGGAAGTAGTTATTGTGCATTAATATATATATATATATATATATATATATATATATATAGAGAGAGAGAGAGAGATTGATAATATTAGTGGTAAATATACACACATAACACTGTTTTCTTTTTTGAATTTGTAGGTACGATTCCAATGGAATAAATTATGACCATGGAATATTAGTGTTTAGCCTTTTTTATATATATATATATATATATATATATATATATATGTATATATATATATATATATATATATATATATATATATATATATATATATATATATATATATATATATATATATATATATATATATATATATATATATATATGTATGTATAATATGTGAAATTTCTACCAGTTACATATACACAATCATCAAAAAACAGGCAAACAAACAGTTTTAACATAATAACAAATAAACTTTTAAAAATTAAAAATAATAGCAAATTTTAGCTATCATAATTTTACACAGACAACACCACACGTATCCACGTGCATGCGAAGAAATATTATTCAGCGAAAAAGTAGAAAAATGCTCTGATTGCTGACATGTTCACGAGACATTCACGAGAAATTTTCGCTACACTTCTGATCTTTGAATTTCAACATACAAATGTGCATATATAGAGACAACACCACCCATATCCACACATATGTCAAATCCGAAACTGTCCACATATGTTTATATCTGTATGAGGCCCGGCAGACGAGCGAGTGTGTATGTGTGTCTGCGTACCTCATCGGGTGTACGGACATGCATCTTTGCGTTAGCATGAGTGACATCATGACGACGATTCCCCACCCACTCCCATAATAACACCAATACACGCAATCTACATAAAGCCAGAATTTAAAAAAAATTAATCAGTTCGTCTGACGATCGCAAAAGCGTGAAACCCAGGGTCACAAACTCACATCAATCCAACCAAATATGTTAGCTCTATCTCTGTTATTGAGCGCTTTCTAATAAGTACCACGCATATAATATATAATATATATATATATATATATATATATATATATATATATATATATATATATATATATACACACACTTTTCACATATATGTATGTATGTATATATATATATATGTATATATATATATATATGTATATATATATTTACATATATATATATATATATATATATATGTATGTATATATATATATATATATATATATATATATATATATATATATATATATATATATATATATATATATATATATATATATATATATATATATATATATATATATATATATATATATATATATATATATATATATATATATATATATATATATTTTGATGTTTCTCTGTGCATTAATATAAAAAGAATCTTGCTCAGCATCCCGTTTCATTTATGCATAGATTTTTCCTTCTGGCATTTTCAGAAACGAAAATACATTAGCTTCACTTAGAAAACGGTGATCTAGAGGACATACATTGTGACAGGGAGCATTGGATTCATGCCTTTGTCTTTAGAAAGGCTTAAACAGCATCATATTTAGTCTATCTTAATTTTTTTTGTTATGCCATATCATTGACAAAACAATGGTTATGATATTTGGGGATAGTTGGATTTCAGCCTTTTCTTGAATGTATGAGGAGGGAAGTGATATCAACTACAGCGACCAGAAATTGAACTTGCCTATAAGGACGATAAAATGTTTATAAATTAATTCAGGTCTTGTCATGTTAGCAAAACAACAGAATAGTAAATCTAAGGAAAGCAATGTCAGACAAATATAAAAATTGCGTTCTCAGTGGTCAAAATCACGGAAATTAAAATTATATGTGCCATCAATCGAATCGCAAGATGTCAAGGTCAGAATACGCTAAATAATGGAAGATTGCAGTGCTTTGCATATTCGCTGGTTTTCCTCTTTGCTTCTATATTGGCTGTTAGGTCTTTTCACTTTACAATTGGAACTATTCTATGCTAACAGTTTCTACTCTCGGACTTCTCGCTTGTGAATCTCACTTCCGGCCTCTTGTTTTCCAAACAACTTTGATCTTCAAAAATTTAAATCGCCATCTTCTGTCTCATTGAATCCTCTTCTTTAACTGCTCTCTCTCTCTCCCCCCCTCTCTCTCTCTCTTCTTGATATTTTTTCTGTTTCCTTCACATTCAGTAACTCCATGCATCTTAGTGGCTTTATCGCCTAATCTGGGGTGAAATGATTGAAAGAAAATATTTAATTTCTCGGTGATTATCGACGGCATTTTCCTGGGTGATATTTTTATTCACGAAACCATTTATACAATATTTTCCTTTAAGTATTGATATGTTTTAAATATTGGTCCTATTTTATTTTTGACTTCTGTTTGCAATAAAAAAAAATCAAGAAAATATAGATAAATATGATAAACAGATATGATTCGATTGAGATAGATAGAAGCAGATTATGTGAAGATGAGAAGAGCTATCGAGAAACTGGCCGAAAATAGAATTGTGTCTTGAAAGACAATATCGTTTTTTGAGATATATATATATATATATATATATATATATATATATATATATATATATATATATATATATATATATATAGAAAGGGCTGTACAGCTGATAAAATCTTTAGTATTCAGCCATCTTGTGATATAGTAATACTCAAACCAGTTCCCGGTCTCTATCTAAGATTTCGACAATGATATATGCTCCGATTAGTTTCAGTATAGTGGAAGGGTCTAGTGCAAGCAGATGTAATGCCACAGAAAAACACGTATACTTCTTTGGTTCAAGCTACTTGAAAGGGAACGGGCCTTGGACATTCGTGAAGCTGGACAGCATTTTGGAGAATTGCTATGTGTTTTAGACGAGATGCAGTTTGGTGGTTTGATGTTAGCAAAAGTGGTCAAAGGAATATTCTTACGCATTCACGTTCCAGACCGCATGCCCAAATCGAGGCAATGTAAAGAAAGTAAGACTTCCAGAACTTAGATCAGAATAAAATTTGGCCACTAGAGTGTCATCACGGATTGTTAGAAATTGACTACTTACAGGAAGATTACGAGCACGCAAAAAATTCATTTAAAACTGAAAACACCGCCAAGAAAATGAAGTGAAGCAAGAGATTCCTATGTGCAGTTGAATGGCTCCCTATAATGTTCAGTAATGAGTGCAGGATATGCATCCATGAAAAATTATGGTCATCATTTTAGTTTCGTTTACCTTCCGTAGTTATGAAAGGGACGCTGAACAAAGTGCCATCGACTATCCCAGAACGTTATTCAGTTTGCTATACCAAAACAGAACCCCTGCCATTAGTCCAAAATATAAAACGTGACTGATCAAGTTACAACATGCGTCACGAATCCCTTCCCAGTTCAAATAGTAGCATCACGAGTCCAAATGAGCCATTGTTAACAGGAGGGCAATGATGGATCTTCTGCTCCCATATCCCTTAAAAGTAAAAGAATGCTGAACTGAAATGCGTCTTGTACTTCCTGCATTGATTATGGACGTGATTTGAATGTCGATTGTCTATAAGCACAGACATTTCTAGCTAAGCGTCTCTAGTGGCCTACCACTGGCCTAAGTTATCTTATAATTTTGGACAGTGGTAGGCCACTGTATTGTCCACAGCGGGTGATAACGCCTTTCATTATGAATTCCCTGCATACCTGTTACACCGTACATCGAAGTACGTCAAATGTCGGCACAATATCAAAAATGGAATCTCCCATTCTTCTGGCATCGATTATAATGGTCCGTTCAAATTTCGGTACTTCACGTCACTTTAGCATGAGCAGCCTAGCTGATAGCCACACTCGTTCTAGGGGTGTCTGAGCACAACTTGTATATAGGTCTGGCCATCAACGTACTAAAATTATCTTTACATATTGCTGTCCTATGACTTTTGACACGTTAATGTACGTTTAAAATTGAATCCCTTGAAACATGTTTGTGTTATTACAATTTGATTTCGTGTCAGTATCACGGAAAACCTATGTATAATATATGAAGCCACTGAGAAAATGTTAGTTCTCGCCAATTTACTATGTTACAAATTTCAAATACAACTCGTCGACACGAAATTCTGAAATTTAAAAAAAATCTAGTGATAAACTTTCCAAGGCACATTGATTTGATTTCTTCAGTAAGCCTACCGGCAATATTTTATTAAAATCGAATTCTTTGCTTATTCTACCATTTCTTTCGATTCGTACTTCAGCTCTTTCCCTTTCGCTCTCTACATTTCCCCTTCTCTCTCTCTCTCTCTCTCTCTTTCTCTCTCTCTCTTTTTAATTCTTCCCACGTCTCTCTAACACTTTATTAGTTTTTCTTACTCTGTCTCTATCACATTTTAACTTATTTCCTTTTCTATACGTCTGTCTCTTTTTCCACTCTCTAAATTTCCGACTCCTTCGACTTCTCTGCCTCTCTTTTATCTCTCGTTTTCATCTCTATCCTCCATGCCTCCTTCTTTTCTCTCGATCTTCCCCCACATCCATCTCTAATTCTCTTTTCTAATACTTCTTTCTTCCTCTCTATTTTTATCTCATCTTTCTTCTCTATTTCATCATTTCTCTCTCTCTCTCTCTCTCTCTCTCTCTCTCTCTATCGATCCATCAATCGATCGTGCTCGATTCTGTTTCATTCTATATCGCTGTATCGATGTACCTCTCTTCCTTTCAGCCGCTAACTCTCTCTCTCTCTCTCTCATTCTCTCTCACTCTTCTCATCATTTCGATTACACTCCCATTTGTTTCGCCCCCCTCTCTCTCTCTCTTTCTTTCTTTCTTTCTCACTACTTTCATCGGGTTTTCTCTTTTTTATTCTCTTTAAAATGAATAGAATACTGGGGCTGCTCAAAGAAATGAATGCTGGCCAGTTTCACTAGAAAGGAAGTAAATATTCTATTGACGAATGTTCAGAATAACATAGACATATCATGTAACAAATGAGGAAGTTTTAAGTAAATTGCCACGGTAAGAGATTAAATGCTATTGTGATAAGAAAGAATACTTGAAGAATATCGGTGCATTGAATACAGACGAAGCAGGGGGTGTAAACATCCTTCAACCTACTTGAGAGGTTTGCACAAATGGATGAAGAAAAAAAATTGCTAAGAGAAAAAAGGACCGTGGAAGAGAAAATATTGCTGATTGATTGATTTATTTTTTACGGTTTATCAACCCTTTTAACGTTATTTAAAGCCAGAAAATATTTTTAGATTGTAAGAATTTTTACTAATTAACCCATAACTGGGTTTGAAGAGGTGAATTTCTACATTTCGCAAGGGTATTTGAGCAGAAGTGAATATAACGAACCCGACTGGAATTGGAAAACGACTCTCCGATTTCAATTATACCACCCACCACACATCCAACCTTACAGAACTTAGTATTCCAAGCAGTCGCGCATTTAGGTACTGGCCAGGTTCGACGTTGCTTAACTTCGGTGACCGTACAGGAACAGGTGTTTCAATGGGATGTGACCGTAAGCTTGAAAGTAGCGCTGAAAGCAACAAGTTATGGGAATCTGTGCAAATCCATGATTACACCCAAGGAGGACATGACATACAAAAAAAAAAAAAAAAAGAGAAAGAAGAGAAAGCGAAATATATTTTATCTTCTTTCCTGTCTATTTTTTTTATTCTCTGGCTTTATCTCCCTCTTTCTCTCTCTCTCTCTCACTCTCTCTCTCTCTCTTTCTCTCTCTCTCTCTCTCTCTCTATATATATATATATATATATTTCTATCTACTTTTCTTTTTTTATTATTTTCTTTTTTGATTATTTCCCTTTCTTCAATCTCACTCGCTCCTTCTCTCTCTCTCTCTCTCTCTTTTATTTTTTCAATATCTCTTTATCTCTCGTTTTTTTCGTAAACTTCCTACTCTCTATCTCTCCCACACTCTCTCTTTCGCAAGCTTCCTTTTATCTGTTTCTTTTTATCTTCCCTTTGCTTCCTCTCTTTCTCCTCTCATCTCATTCTCGGTGTTTCTTCATTTCTCTACAAAATCAATAACCATCTTCCCTTGGTCCAATCTCAGAGATTTCTCAACAAATAAAGAAGAATCCTTTTAGTCCACGGGGATAGATTGTTCTCATTCCACATGCCATGCCTTTATTGGATATCTCAGTTTTCCCTTTAGTAACTCAACTCTCCAAGTTTTTATTTTGTTCTCTCTGCTGTTGGCAGGTATTGAACTCCAAAGACACATGGCCCAGTGGATATAAGCGTTGGTTGAGTAATCCAAAAAGTGAGTTGACCCAAAGAGTTGTGAGTTCAATACCTGGCCACAGCAGAGTGTTGGAGGGAATCACGGAAAGTTGTGTTACTAAAAACAATTAACTCATACTGAATTATCCAAAAAAAGGTATGGCACATGGAATTGGAACAATTTACCCCGTGGACTAAATAAAAGTTTCGTTTCGAAATCCCAACGTATACCACCTGAAGAAGGTTGGCGCGTACAACGGCCGAAACGTCCTGAATATGGCAATAAAGATCAGGACAACAGTCCTAACGATGTAAATAGTGTAATTAGTTACAATACCTTATCGTAAAAATATTGATAAAACAAAGAAGCGTAAAGAGAGATAATAATAATATGGATATAATGTTAAGGGAGATTTATTTATTTACAGGCTCACATGATACTAAATTCGTTACAAGGTCAAGCATTCATTTGCATTTCATGCCTCCACAGAATAGAACAGTACAAACCACAAGCGTAGAGATTCCCTCTCTCTCTCTCTCTCTCTCTCTCTCTCTCTCTTATTCACTTTTTTCTCTTTCTCTTTCTATACCTTCTTTTCATTCTCCCTATTTCACGTCTTTTTCTCTCTCTCTTTTCTTTTCATTTCTCTCTCTCTCTCTCTCTCTCTCTCTCTCTGTCTTCTACTTTACCTTAATTTTGACATGGACTTCACCCTCACTATTTTTCACTCATTCGTTTCTATCTCTTCAAATATCGATATTTCAACACTAATTCCTTTTTCTCTTTCTCTTCCTTTTCCCATTTTCTTATTCAATTTTTTATTCGTCTCTTTCTTTCTCTTCATTTACTTCTTTGTCATGTCGCGCGCTCTTTGACTTTCTTTCTGTTTTTCTCCCTTTCTCTATCTCTCTTTCTCTCTCTCTCTTTCTCTCTCTGGCCTTTTATCGGTTTTTTCTACAGCCTTTTTATCTTTCATTCTTTCTTTCTCAGTTTTCTTTTCTTTCCTCATTTCGGCAGAGATCTCTCTCTATACACTTGCCACGCGCGCTCCCACAATTTCTTTAGGCAAATTTATTCGCATCTTAAATTCGCATCTTTTTAAGATAACATTTCAAATCTAGAAATATATTTCTTTAACTGTACATTTCACCTTTGACATACGCTCATGATTGCATGCATACGCACTTGAACACATATGTACTAACACAGGGGTACACTGACACACATTTACATACTACTAAACGTACACACACACATATATGTATATATAATCAGATTTATAATTATATTTAAGCATCTATCTATAAACACACACACACACACACACATACATATATATATATATATATATATATATATATATATATATATATATATATATATATATATATATATATATATATTGTATTGTATTGTGCGATTGCCTTAACAAACGATTCTTTCCATCTTTACACCAGCGGAAGTCACGATCTTCGTGACTAAATCTTGTTCTTGGGAAAAGTTCTATTCAATTAATAAGATATTTTGGCTTTTTGAAAAGACAATCTCCCTTCTCCAAGGGAAAATCCACACTCTCCTTGTCTGGTTCTCTTTTATTTACACCTTTTATACATCTCTCTCTCTCTCTCTCTCTCTCTCTCTCTCTCTCTCTCTCTCTCTCTCTCTCTCTCTCTTAAATAACCCACAATGTACACTTTTCTTGTCTCTGCTTTTCACTTCCTCATTTTCTCTCCCTTTCAAGTCTTTTCCCTCTTTTCAGTTCACTCTCCTCTTTCTTCCCTTTTCTTCTACTTTACCTCATTGTTTCTTTCTTAGTAGATATTTTTTCTTTTAGCCTAAACTTTACTTCTTTCTTTCTTTCTTTTTCCTTTCTTCTTCTTTCATTTTTTCCGCGCCCTTTTTTTTATTCTTTATTTTCTCTGGTCATTCTTCATTTTCTTTATTCTTTTCATTTTTCTTCACCCCCACTTTTTAAAATATTATACTCATGACACCTATATCATTATATACTTATCTGTCTTCTTCCCGTCTCCATTGTTGTTGTTGTTGCTCTTCTTCTTCTTCTTCTTCTTCTTCTTCTTCTTCTTCTTCTTCTTCTTCTTCTTCTTAATTAGCTTACACTTTTGGTAATTTTCATCTTATTCTCATTTTATACTTCATTTGGTATTACGAGATCATCTGCTCTCCGCTAAAAGTTTATATGTCAGAAAGTTTAGGAAATATATTTTTAATGCGAAAACCAAAGATAAAAATAAAAGAAATTATATTGCCTCTATTTTGACCACCCCTATATATATATATATATATATATATATATATATATATATATATATATATATATATATATGCAGGTAAAATGAGTAGAGCTAAATATTATTTATTCTGGGATGTTAAAACAAAAACATGTTTAAAATTTCTCGCCAGTAGTTTTACATCGCACTAGGAGACACATTTGCAGTGTCGAAACATAATTGTAATTGTGTAGTGAATTTTAACATGTTTTTGTTTTAATGTTCTAAGATTATATATATATATATATATATATATAATGTAAAGATAGAAATTTTTATTAGCTTCTAATTTTTGTATTACCTTCTAATCTTCATCTTGAAATAATTTCTAATTAGACTTGAAAAATTAGAAATGTTACTCATCTGGAGATAATTTCAATTTAAATTGATCACTTAGATTTAAATTTAAAAAATATTACTCTTTAATTCACGATATTAAAAATATTAAAATTAAAAATATTAAAAATATTTTTTTTTAATTTAAACACTTAATTCACTATCTTACGGTAACTGTAAAATTTAAGAAAAAATTTAAATATGTATAAAGATGGATGCCTGTGGAAATATGTATATGTAAATGTTTGTATATGCATGTGCGTGTATACCGATGTGTATCAATACATGTGTATGTGGTTATATATGTATTGTACGTGTATATGAATATATGTGTATTTATGTAAATATATATGTGGTGTGTGTATGTAAAACAGTAAATTCTTTGTTTATTATTACCGTCAAATCTTACTTCATCTTGATTTGAAACCTAAACATTAATTAAGAAATATTACTCATCTAAAAATAGCTTCAGA